ATTAATGATATTGTTCGATAATTTCCACATTCTGTGGGATCACTTTTCTTTGGAATGGGTACAAATATGGATCTCTTCCAGTCAGTTGGCCAGGTGACTGTCTTCCAAATCTCTTGGCATAATCGATTGAGTGCCTCCAGCAGGGCATCTGCTTGTTGAAATATCTCAATGGATATCCTGTCAATTTCTAAAGCCTTGTTCTTAGCCAATTCCTTCACTGCAGCTTCAATTTCCTCCTTCAAAACCGTTGGTTCTAGATCATATGCCACTTCCTGAAATGGATGAAGATCAACTAGTTCTTCTTGGTACAGTGACTCTGTATTCTTTCCATCTTCTTTTGATGATTTCTGCATCATTCAATATTATACCCATAGAATCTCTCAATATTGCAACTTGAGGCTTAAATTTTTCCTCAGTTCTTTCAGCTTGAAAAATGCTGAGCATGTTCCTCCCTTTTGGTTTTCAGACTCCAGGTCTTTGCACATTTCATTATAGTAATTGGCTTTGTCTTCTCGAGCTGCTCTTTGAAAGCTTCTGTTCAGCTCCTTTATATTGTCATTTATTTCATTTGCTTTAGCTACCCTCTGCTGAAGGGCAAGTTTCAGAGTCTCAATGACCTCGTGCTTTCTTCATGGATGATGTTCTTGATGTCATCCCACAATTCCTCTGGTTTTTGGTCACTGGTGTTCAATGCATCAAATTTATTCTTAGATGGTCTCTAAATTTAGGAGAGATATATTCAAGATCATACTTTGGCTCTCATGGACTTGTTTTAGTTGTCTTTAACTTCAGGTTGAACTTGCATATGAGTAGTTGATGGTCTGTTCCACAATCAGCTCATTGCCTGGTTTTGGCTGAAAATATTGAGCCCTCCCATCACCTCTTGCCACAGATATAGTCAATTTGATTCCTGTTTGTTCCATCTGGTGAAGTCCACATGTCCAGCTACTATTTGAGTTGTTGTAAAAGATATTTGCAATGAATAAGTCGTTGGTCTTGCAAAATTCTACCATGCAAGTTCCAGCATTATTTTTGTCACCAAGGCCAGATTTTCCTACTACCAGTGATTCTTCTTTGTTTCCAACTTTTGCATTCCAGGCACCAGTGACAATGAACACATCCTGATTGCATGTTTGGTCAATTTCAGAGTGCAGAAGTTGATAAAAATCTTCAATTTCCTTTGGCTTTGGTAGTTGGTGCATAAATTTGAATAATAGTCGTATTAACAGGTCTTCCTTGTAGGCATATGGATATTAACCTATCACTGACAGCACTGTACTTCAGGACAGATCTTGAAACGTTCTTTGTGATGATGAATGCCACACCATTCCTCTTCAAATTGTCATTCCCGGCATAGTAGATCATATGGTTGTCGGATTCAAAATGCCAAAACCAGTCCATTTCAGTGCACTAATGCCTAGTATATCAATCTTTATGCATTCCATTTCCTTTTTGACAACTTCCAATTTTCCTAGATTCATACTTCATACATTCTATGTTCTGATTATTAATGGATATTTGCAGCTGTTTCTCCTCAATTTGAGTCAGGCCATGTCAGCAAATGGAGGTCTTGAAAGCTTTACCTTATCCATATGAGTAAGGAAACTCTCACTCTGATGATTCAGCTCTTTCCCAGTCCTATTTTGAGAGCCTTCTAACCTAACCAGACTATTCATAAAGTTGCACGGTAATGTATCAGACAGTATTTCCTTGCTATTCATGAGGTTTTCCCTGGCAAATTCTTTGAGAAGTGGTCGGCCTCTTCCTCCTTCCTA